CAATTCAAAATCTGGTGAAGTACAAAACAACAACTCTAGGACAATTAGCACAGAGTTGCCAATGCATGCCTGTTGGAGCATCTGAGTAGTTGCTTCTAACCTAATCCATCCCTGTTCTGTTCACCGCTGACGGAATACCGTAACGAAAGGTCAACGATGAATAACTACGCGTCTTTACTATCACTAAAACTTCAATCTAACCAAAAACGATAAGAACTTACATGAACGCGTAAATTAGAAAATTTTAACCATAGAATCTCACTACGGAATGAGAATACTTTTCCTGCCAATTTTCAACCATGAGATACTCCATCACTTGTGAAAAAGGAAACTCTCAACCGCATGGATTCAGTCACAGTTAAATTTCCTTGACTGGTTCTTTTTTCATGGAATTTATGGCACGGCGTTAACCTCTGCTTCTGTAGCGTCAGCCATAAATGATTTGCTTCTGTTTCATGACCATATCTACGGCTAAATAACCATTATAACAAGTAGTCTCTTCTTTCTTTCCCGTAAACTGCTCCGCATTCATCTCTCTCAGAAGGATTACGGGGGAGTGACTCTACCTGGGCTCGAAGCCACGCTGTTTCGAGTAAGCAGCCGCGATTTGATCATCATGGTCTATACTACTTTTTCTGGCAACTCACGCCCAAGAATTCCAGCGCAGGTTGGGAGGTATGAGAAATTACACAAATTCCCTTTGTGGCACAGAAATGCAGTATATTACATTTTCTGCGAGTGTAACAGATCTGACATATAACGTGATTATCGTGTTAAGAAGAAAACTTTATTACTGATGAAATGTATCCTAATCAGACTGTTTTCACTTACCATATCACCCAATGGTGGACCCTAATAAAGTATAAGACGTCTAAAAAGCGGATCCCCAAATCAAAGTTTTTCATGGGTGTTCGCATCCAAACCTGAAATCAGATGATCCACTTATATCATTCTTAGTCAAAGGATCACTGTCAAAAACTACGAACGTGAGCACCAAGTAAATAGTGCTTTCTACCTCAGCATCCTGCAGAATTAGAGAGAAGCAAGGGAGAATGTCATAAAATCAATAACGCGATGCAGTAAACAGCTTATGTATAGGTTTACTGCCCAAGGCCAAAAATGAGTACACTACCTTTATATTATGTAAACCTCAAATCTGTCAAACTATACCTGACAGATTCAATTTCCTGTGAACTACTTCAAAGTTTGGAAGTGGTGACGGAGCAAGCATGGACATATTCAGGCGGTGGTTCTGCCAGTCACTCGCTAATAGAACATTCCCACTACCAGATCCTTACAAAGTGCTCCATTTCTGTGAAATAGTAGAGTTGGATGAAAGCTGAAGAGAGATGCGCAACACTTCACGCGAGGCTGGTATTCCAAGTGAACTGCCGAACAATAAGTCGCCAAAAGAAAACGCTCAAAGAAAAATGAAAACCGGAAAGAAGCATTCGCTACCGCATCATTCTCAACAACACCTAAAATTCGGTGAAACACAAAAGACGGTTAGCAGACATTATCGAAACGTCTTCACTATTTTTGGAGAAAGCCATTATATAAAAACGCTATTAACAAACGCATTTGTCGCCTTGTACCTCAAGGAAACCGAGTAGTTAAAGAAGAAAGTTTCTAGAATATGCGACGACATCTGTATCTATCGCACGATAAGCGCAATCGAAGAACGAAGACTAAGTGTTCCTCAGGAAAGTCTTCGAGAACAGAGGGTGGACCGGTGACACTGAATTCATGTTAAAAACAAAGGTTGTACCATCCGGAGTGAGCTTGATATTGTAACACCTCGGGTAACAATTTTACTTCTACAGATGTACAAAAGAACACCTGAACAACAATAAAAATAATCCAAGTATACAGTCCAGCCCAACAAGTTTAAGATCAAGAGATCGAGCAATTTTACTAGGAAAAGGAAGATGTAATGCAGAAGAAGACTACCTACAAGATTGTCCAAGTAAACTTTAAAGCAGTTATCAGGAAAAGAATCAGCGACACCAAGGTATTTATCGGCAAACACGGAAAAGGCGAAACAAATGAAGATCACTTCACAACTTTCGCTAAAACCAAATATCTCCACATCATAAAAACCGTTCTTTAGAAAGCCTCAAAGTGGACATGCAGAATGAATGTCTTTGAGCCAAATCGATGTAAATGTACGAATATCGGGTTGGACCACAAAACTTTACTGACCACAGTGACTGTCGGGGTCGCAAACGAGGTTCAGCTTGCTGCCATTGATGAGCTATGAAATGAATATCACTGAAGAGATAGATACGGGCTAAGACCAGTTTGTCAATGTGATCAAGGCTGCACAAGAACATGAAGTCGGATAGCCAAGTCGATGACAGACCAAGGCATCAGCCCTTGTACAAGGCAGCTAACAGGCAACGCATATGCTACGCTGTGTAAAAAAAATCAGAAAGAAGTTGAGGGAAGGCCACAACGCGTACAGAAGATGACAAAGAAACTCTACCAAGAAAAAAAGCCTAAAAGATACTGAAAGCGATAAGTATCATTACTCAACAGTTAGAAGCATAAGAGACAAGGAACAAATTTCATTTACAAAAATTCCAACGTTTCAACCGAATTGGCATCGATCATTATCAGGGAACCTACTGAAGAATGTTGAACGACATATTCATCTAAAACAGCAGATTCCGAGTGCACTGAAAAAAACGAAGGAAGATCAAGAATTACTGAAACGCACATGGATGAACGCGATGGACAAAATATTCTACAACAACTGTATTCTTCCAAATTAGGCGTGAATCAGAAGAAGCTGCCTAAAAACCGTCACATGATACAAAGTTGTACAAGCAATCAAAAACATCGAAAACAGCGTATGTCCAAGCAGGACGATATCAGACCAGAAGAGCATAAAGCAGGAGGAACAGTCGTGCTTCAAGCGCTTACCAACGGTTT